ATAGGTTTGTTGTCTGTTGCCACATCAGCGTGGTAAACCTCTAGGGTGAGAGAGGAACCAGTTACTCAAAAAAAACAACAAACAACCCCCTAAAACCCCCAGTTACTGTTGGAAGAAGAAACAGGGATGAAATGGCCAGTGATAATTTTAAGATGGAAGTTTTTGATAGGGAGAACAACTGGGATCTGAAACAGTAAGTTATCATAATATTTTTCTGTCTCTAGTAGATTTATTTTTCTTTCTAGAATAGATTATTATTATAATAGATTATTTATTTTTCTTTTTAATTAAACCTTAAGAAATCCAAATACTTTCTGTTCCTACCATGATTCCCTGAAATAGGAAAAAAATGAAAGTGAGGCCTTGTTTCTGCCAGCTTTTCAAGAGAAAAGCTACAGACTGTCCCTTTGGCCACCCTCCAGCCAACTAGCATTCCAGTCGTCTCCCTGGATTTCATAAGACTTTTCTGCCCTATGGCAAAAATATTCTGTTCTTCTAAGCAGTGTCAACTGCCCTTCCAATTTTCAACACCTGCGCTTTTTCAAGTTTTCCATTTTAGAGAGAAAACCGTCAGTTTTTTGCTAGCAGAATGCTTTTTGAAGTTGTCACGCTGGCACGTGGAAGATCAAGCAGTTGTTTGATGTGTAATCCCAGCTCTTCCTTTACAATACCTTTCACAAGGTGGGGTTGAATCTGGACAAGGTATTTCCAGCTGTGCAAGAGGTGAAGATAATGACTGTTTTATTTGGTTTTCCTCCATTCCCAGGGCGTCACCGAAGGCTACAACGGCACCATATTTGCTTACGGCCAGACTGGCAGCGGGAAGTCATTCACCATGCAGGGAGTTGCAGACCCCTCTGCACAGAGAGGCATAATCCCCAGGGCCTTTGAACACATTTTTGAGAGCGTACAGGTGGGTGCGTAAGGCTGGGAAAGAGCTCCCTCTGTGAGGTGGTGCGATACCGAAAAAGCTGGGGTTTGTGTCGTGCCCCAAGGAGTGAGTGCCAATGGCGCATGGAAGGAAGAGCAGAGATGGGCTTTTGGGTACGCTCGTCTTAAAGTTGAGGCCCGAGTGTAGTCAGATGAGCTGCGCCCTCATCTCCTCTGGCTTTATGGGCTCGTGCTGGAGAGGTTTACGGACCAAAAGTCCCTATAGCCGGTGTGTTGAGGGGTTACACATGGGGACATCAGGAGAAATCTGGTGAAGTGCTGCTGGGAGGCAGGAGCCCACCTGACGCTGGGGGTCTACAGGTTGCCTGCTTGCCTTCATTTTGAGAATCTTATCTGAAACTCATTTCTGTTTTGTGCAGTGTGCTGAAAATGCCAAGTTCTTGCTGAGAGCTTCCTACCTGGAGATTTACAATGAAGACATACGAGACCTTCTGGGAGCTGATACGAAGCAGAAGTTGGAGGTGAGGCAGAGTCAATATCTCTTAATTTGCTCAGATAAGTGTTACCGTGAATGTCTTGCATAAGTGCAACAATATGCTCTGGCAGAGGCTGAATGTTAGAATGTGAAGTTATAGAGACAAATGTGGAATCCAAGAGGAGATTTTGAGGGACTTAAATGGAAGTTTGGCTGCAGAAGAACAGGATCCACGCAGAGACATATCCTGTGTGTCCCGTTTGACAGCAGCCGGTAGCTTGGCAGAAGCTACGTGAAGATCATTATTGGACAAGGATCAAATAAAGTGCTTGTGGGGCAATTTCTTCCTAATCCTCTTCATCTCACCGCTGCCTCTGAATTCTTACAGAAGTTTAATCTGATCCAGTGTAGCTGTGGATGATCTCATCTGTCTTAAAAAAACCCCTAATATCTCTTTTTTGAGGGAGCACAGCAGATGTTACTCCCCGTGGGAAGTGTTACTCCCACGAGGAAGGTGGGCAGTTTCCAGGAATGCAGGAGGATGAGCTTTCCCAAAATTCTCACGAAGGGGCTGATTGTTATTAGAATTTACCCCCTGGTGGCTTTACCGATCTTTTTTTCCCATATTCCTGGAGGGAGCTGCGTGTCTCTTGTCCTAATTTACTTCTCTGTGGAGTTGCCCTGGTGTGGACAAATGAGGCACCAGCCCCATCTGCTGCACAGCCGCGCTGGGACGGTGACAGACCCAAACTGCTTTACGGGGCAGATACTTTTGTTGGTGCTTTAACAGGCTCCTGGCTTGAAGGGAGGCAAAACCCTCCCTGCTCCACCCGTGCGTGTCAGGAGGGAGGGTAGGAGAAAGGGACTCGCTGTTGCTGCTGTTTCCCATCTTTTGTTCCACATCAGCAGTGACACCGGTTTCCACGACGACCACTGGGAGGGCAGGAGTTGGGCAGAGCAGTTTCCAGGGTAACACCGGTGACAACCTCTGCCTGTTGCTGCCTCCGCCCCAGTAATTGAGTCCTGTCCTGCGGAGACCCAAAGCCCAGGCTGACCCACTGCTTCCTTCTGTTGCACCCCAGTTCTTCCCCAAAATCCCATTTTGGTGTGTTCCGTTGCCTTTGGCGACGCTGAAGCCCACGATCACCTCGCGTGGCATGAAACCCTGTGAAGAGCAGGTTTTATGGAGCTCTGTGAGGAAAATCCCTCCTGTCAGTCTGTTGTGGAGCTGAATGGCCACATCCTCAGTCGGATGTTCCTCAGGGACCTGCAGCACCTTCAAATACAGCAGGGCCAACTGTGGGGCTCTCCTGTAGCACGGGCAAAAGTCACGGAGTCTCAACAGTCCAGCTGTGATTCTGACTCATCCGGGGCAGTCACTGCTTTAGAACAAGGCTAAAATCCTGCCTCGTTTTGTTTCTAGGCACTTCTGCTCTGTTCTGTGTGGAGTTTTGAACAGCAAACGCTCTATTTTACGTTGCTGCTTGTGGCACGTGCAGAACTGAAGTATCTAAGGCTCTTTTCTGGCAGTCACACTGCCAAATGTGGTATCCATTGCTCCGTGACAGCAACTCGTGACAACCATACCTTGATTTCCCAGCTGACATGATAAAGATAGAGTTTTGGTTATGAACTCAGCAGGTGTGGGGCGTAACGTTGCTGTTGAAAATGAACTTGGCTTGTTTAAAATTCCCAGTGTGGAGGGGGCTGGTGTGGGAGTGCAGGGATCTCTCGACTGTTACGTATTTTAGAGCATCTTAAAAATGAACTAATCTGGAGGAAAAGTATTCTGGTCCGCCCGTGCGTGGTGTGACTTTGGGAATTTTGTCAGGGAGATCAAGACGCCCTCTCGGAGCGGAGGGGTTCAGCAAAGCACTGGGAACAATATCCGTGACTATCGAACCTGTGCTTTGATTTTAAAAAGCTCCCTATGACTGAAGAGATATTGGAGCCTTTGCCATAATAGGTGAAAAACATTTCAGTCCCTGTTTTAAAATATGCAGCTTAATAATAGAGGAGGTAATTTTAATTCTCTTTTGCCCTGCAGAGCCATGAAGGTGGTTCCCTATTGTGTGGTTTTATTCCTCCTTCAGCAAAACTCAGGCTTTTTTGGTGGCAGTCAGGGATCTTTTTGCCATCCTGCGGTTTAATTTCTCCTCGTGCAAAACTTGTGTGTAGCCCCTCAAGCTTCTGGATGGTTTCCAACATGCCCTCCTGCAGCCTCAGCACACCGTGTCCTAACCTGTCTTACGTTGTCCCTGTTTGCAGCTGAAGGAACACCCGGAGAAAGGGGTGTACGTGAAGGGCCTGTCTCTGCACACCGTGCATAGCGTGACCCAGTGCGAGCAGATCATGGAGACGGGCTGGAGAAACCGAGCTGTGGGTTACACCCTCATGAATAAGGACTCTTCCCGCTCCCACTCCATCTTTACTGTCAATGTGGAAATCTACACCGTAGGTAGGTAGCTGGGTGTCCCACATTCAGTCTCGTCCCAGCAGAGCACAGAAGCTGCGCAGTCTGGCCAGTCACTCCACGGCCTAGATGATCTTGGGTCCAGTAGAATTCGGGATTGTGCCCTGATGTGGACATTCTGCACAGTGTGAAATGGCTGAGTAGTCCAAATCTTTTTTTTTTCTCCTCGATTTCCTCTTTGGGAGAGAAGTGTCTTACACAAGGCTTGGAGTTCACGTGTTGTATGGCCTGGAGAAACTCCCATCCTTACCTGTCTTGCCTGACCTCCTGACAGTGCGAGTCAGACGGTTTCACTCAATGATTCTTTCACTGAGCTCGTCAGTCACATCTTTTAAAGATGGAATAAAAGAATCCCTTAACGTTTTAGTGACTAATTTTCCTTTCTTGAACATCTCGTTTCCATTGGCATTTCTGTAGCTGATTAAGCTGCCTTGCTGGGTCTGAACGTGGGCCTCAAAAGGGTGCTCTCTGGGGCTAAGAACGGAATTTGTCTTCTGTATTCTGACTAGTCCTTGACCATGGCTGAACAGCTTGGCTTCCTTTTCCTCAGCTGTTTCAGTCATGGGGAAAAGTTAACACATCTTCCTAAATTGTGATTGTGGGTGTTGGTGACAGTACCTTGTTTTCTTCCATCCAAAACGCTGGTGGTGGATTTGGGGAATTTCTCAATTAGCACAGCTGGTGGACGATAATTCTTGCATTTATGTGGGTCCGTAAAACCACAACTTTAATCCTATAAAGGCAAAAGAAGTATTTACACTTCTCTTTGGTATTCCAGATGGGTGCAAGGCCCTTAATCTACCCTGCAACCATTTCTCTGATTTAAAGCTTTGAAAACTTGCTACATGGAACAGGGTGGCAGGTGAGGAAACTCGCAGTTCTGGCAGTAAAATGGAAGACAGCTGGAATATTTGAGGAGAAAGTTGAGGGTTCTGGCACAGTCCCCATAACTGGATGGTTCTACTAGGGTAGTCATTAGCTGAAACAGTTAATGAAGTCGATATTTATGTTGTCGTCTTGAGGCTTCTTGAAGAGGTGCATGTAGAAGTTAAAACTTACTTTCCTGTTTAGCCGGTGATTTACAGGCAGTAGGCATTTCAAAGGATCTCTTCATGATTATGTAGAGTAAAGGGACTCTTTGAACTAAGAGTTTAGATCCAGGGACAGGATTAAAGGTCCCTTCTAATCCAACACATTCGATGATTCTACAATTAGAGCAAACACCGGGCACTCTGGCTCCAGGTGTATGAAATGTGCAAGTCGCCGTCAGTATTTTTACCATTTTTAGAGCAGCAGATGCTTTATGCCTTTACGCTGTGTTTAGGGATTGATCAGTTAATGAGAAAGATGTAGATTTGGCCGGTGCTTGTACCACCATCACTGGCTGATGGGCTGTGTGGGAGCTGGACGGGAAGGCTTTTGAGCTGCCACCGACATTTTAGCAAGAGCCTGGGGACCTTGTTACACCGTGGAAACTAAACTGCTAAGCTCCCCGACTGAAACAAACAGCCTCCCTGGGTAAAAGGACTGGCAGGAACCAAAACAGCTTCTTAATTGCCTGTCAGTGTTTACATAAACTGGGGGAAGGAGGGAAAAGGCTAGAAAATCTACTTTTTGTGACTGCCCACTCACCCTGGCTCTGAGAAAGGATCCTGAGAGGGTGCTCTGTATAAGCTCCATTTTTTTCCCAATTCTCCCATTCCTTCACACACCAGAAAGCTCTGGAATGAACAACAAGTTTGCTCTGCAGCAGATGTTAAGTTCCACAGTTAACGATCTCTTGCTGTAACTGGGGAAATATCCTGTGGCGATAGATTTTAGATATTTATTTGTTTACCTGTGAACTTAACTTTCCCCCATGCATGATATTATTCATCGCTCATGCTTAAGTATTGTCCGCAGCCATAAAGCTTAACTCTGACTAAGTTGAAGGCTAGGTTTTGTAGAAGTCTGTCTGGAAAAGGGTCGACTCGCTTAAAACTTTGATGTTCTTTTTCTTTGGAGCGCTCTTCCCCAGGACTTGGGTTCTAACTGTGAGGGATGATTGGGACGTGCATGTCCAAGAGCGTGATCGCAGGCTTAGGACAGCGGTCTGTGATTTGGGAACGTGTGTCCAGCTCTGTGTGAGGCTGGGAATGCTGGGCAGCAAAGAAACAGGGTTCCTGAAGTGACCGAACGCGCTCTCTGTTAGTTGCAGGGTATTTGTGTCATTGTGTTGATCTGGCCTCAAAATGAAGTCAGGAAGCAAGTATCATAAGCGTGAGGTGCGTGTCCGTAGGTGGGGAGCTAGCTCTTAGCTTCAGCTCACACCTTCTCTTGCCTTAAGCGTTACGATGGGAACGGCCCCAGCTCACAGGCTCTGACTCCTCACTCGCCGAGATCCATCACCTTGTCCAGGTGGTTCTTCTTGAGGAAGGCCCCGACCTCCTCTTCCGCCCAGTGCCGACCAACACTCGGACATGCCGCTCTCAATTTCTTGCAGTTTCCATTTCTCCCCATATTCCTTCATTTTATTTTCTCATGGAGAATGTCATGAATTAAAGAGGAACAGATGCCGCCGAGCATGCCCGTGGGCTGAGTCATGGTGCAGTTGTACGGCTTTCTGGGCGAGAGGGGAGATCTGCCGGGCTTCTCGAACACCTGAGCCAGCTGGTAGACCTTGATGGTATCTGATAGGATGTGCTTTTTCTTTTGAAGCGCAGCAAGAAACATCTTAAATGTGTCCATTGATTAAGGCAGGTTGGATTCCAGTCCTGAGAAAAGCTGTAATTTGGGGGTTTGTGGAAGAACTTTTTCTCAACGTAGCGGCTAACCCATTTTTCTGCGGCAGTCTGTAGAGGTGTAACCTTCCTGCCTGTCTCTCCACGTCACACAGGGGTCAGGGAGCCTCCTTTACCTGTGCTCTCCATCTTGCCTTGCTCTGGTTGCTGCCCATTAACTCCTCATTTCATGCTTCCTCCCTTCTTTCTCTCCAATGGTCAGACATGGTTTGCCTTCATGAAACAACCTGCGGAGGAGAAAAATGTATAAATCCACAGTCTGACCTTGTTACTTGTAGAGGACTTTGTGTGAAATTCTGGGGAAATATGTGGAGAGTGTGTGTGTGGTCAGAGCTCACAGAATGAGTAAGAACGGGCATGAATTCTTACTGGGCAGGATCTCGTTCAGGAAAGTGCTAAGCCATGTAGTTCAAAGATTAAGTAGGTATTTACTTCAGGAAGTCAGGGCCCAAATACAGGCGAAGAACAGGGCTTGAACTGGAGAGTACTGCCAAGAGAGCCCTTGTTCTTGACTCCTGAGAAGATCCTAATGTGGGATTATTTTCTTGCAGATGAGCGAGGGCAGGACCACCTCAGGGCCGCGAAACTCAATTTAGTGGATCTGGCAGGAAGCGAGAGGCAGTCAAAAACCGGAGCCACGGGGGAGCGGCTCAAAGAGGCCACCAAAATCAACCTCTCCCTCTCAGCTCTGGGCAACGTCATCTCGGCCCTGGTCAACGGCCGGTGTAAGCACATTCCCTACCGAGACTCCAAGCTGACCAGGCTGCTCCAAGACTCCCTCGGAGGGAACACCAAGACCCTGATGGTTGCGTGCTTATCTCCAGCTGATAACAACTACGACGAAAGCCTCAGTACTCTGCGCTATGCTAATCGGGCGAAAAACATCAAGAACAAGCCCTATATCAATGAGGACCCCAAGGATGCTCTGCTGAGGGAATATCAGGAGGAGATTAAGAAGCTGAAGGCGATTCTAGCTGGACAGATGAATCTGAATGACTTGTCAGGTAGGAGAGCCCTTAGTGCTCCAGAGATGTTTTGTCTTTGTTAGAAAAATAGCGGGGTTTACACATAAAATGCTCACTGGATTTCCTCTCAGCCTTTCCCTTACCTGTTGGAGGAAGAATTCTCCATTCCAGTAATGGGCTTTTCCTTCACTGTTGCCAAACTGACCTTATTCCACTGATAAAGACTGTCTCAATTATCCAGTATTTTCACTAATGACAAAATCTGTTAGAAAATGCTGCTGTGATTCAAATCCTTGTTGCTTCTTGGTTCTTCTGGCTAGAATTTGGTCAGTCACAGAAGAGAGGTTTCGCCTGGCAGACCAGATATGAGCTGCGAAAGAAACGACAATGTAAAATGTTAAACATATAACGAGAGAAGTTTTTGAAGTTCAGCCCTTGTTCTCCTACACTGTGAATTTTTGGCACTACAAGAAAAGTTGTGCCCTGCTGCTGGCACTGCGTACGGTGAGCAGCGCTGTCCTCTCTGTGAGGATTCAGCCCGGCCTCGCTCAGAACAGTTTTTAGGGAGCTGATCACCTTTTGAGATTTACCCCTTAAAAAAAGGGCAAATTTCAGCAGAGGAATAAGGCTGTGGGGTGATTTATCTCTCCCTTGCTGCCATGTTTCAGAAACAGCCACGGAGAGAGAAGGCAATTGCCTTGCACCTTTCATCTCCTTCCCAGTGTCTTTTACCTTCCAGATCTGTTAGCATAGCCCTGGAAACAAGGCTCCTGGTACTCCACGCAAAAGATTGGATTTATATTTGCTTTCATATACCTGAAGCTTAAACCTTTGCTCGGTGCTGACTCCTTCTCTCCCCACGCCGATGGGGCCACAGGCCAGTGGGCTTCGCAGGCGCTGGCACACGAGCACAGTTCAAAGCAGCGTGTGGATTGGGATGTTCTTTGCTGGCAGCTGGCTTCTTTGTTCTGTTTCCAGGCATTCTACAGACAATCCCACCCAGTAATTGTGAGCGGTTTTGATTTCTGCTTTCCTTTGCAGGGCTTCTACCTGCCGAGACTGCTCACCTGGCAGCGGAACCAGCTCCACTTCTCCAACCCCAGTTAGATCTTGAAGCAGAGAAGCAGCTGATCAGGGAAGTAAGTCAGGAGGAGTATCCTGCAGTGTCTTTGACTGAGGCTTGTGAGGTTTTATAGTAATAATTACAAATATGTTGTGGTGCTGTGTGGTTCAACCTTTTCAGAACGCTTCTCTTCCTATTTTTTCACTCCTTGGGCTTCTCCTATGGACAGAAGTGTTGATGGAGGCCTTATTTCCAAAGCCACTTTTTCTCAGTATTGTTCCCACCTCTCTGGAGATAAATTGGAATGGACTCCCAAGACAAATTTTTGAAGTAATTATATGGGAAACTTAGATTCCTCCTGTCAGAAGAGAAGTAGGTGGGAGGCAGGCAGTAGTCAAAGACGTTAGGAATAGTACAAGGATGAAGATAAAGAGGGGATATGAAGCCAGAAGGAAATGAGAGAAGTTGTGGCTTCCCCCTCCCTGGAGGTGTTCCAGGCCAGGTTGGACAGACCCTTGAGTAGCCTGATCTAGTTGAGAGGCGTCCCTGCCCGTGACAGGGAGGTTGGATTAGATGATCTCTGAGGTCCCTTCCAGCCTCGGCCGTTCTGTGATTCTATGACCTTGTGAACAGTCATGGGGCAGTTGTGACAGGCTGTCTGCTGGGCCTTTCAGGAGTACGAGGAGAGGCTGGCCCAACTAAAGGCCAGCTACGAAGCGGAGCAGGCGTCCCGCACCCGCCTCGAAGAGGACATCGATAGCCTGAGGAACCTCTACGATCTCAAGCTGTCTGCCCTCGAGGAGAGGCTCAGGAAGGAAGCAGGTGCGGATGAGACTGGTGGAGGGTGCGCGGCGCAGGCTGAGCATTCAGTGGTGCTTTAGACCTGAGGAGACACAGATTTTTTTGTAAAGTCACAACTGTGGCAGCCACTGTCACCTTTAAAGGGGCAGTGACAGAGACTGCTCTTGCAGTGAATGCTGCCTGGCAGCAACAGCAGTCCCTGCTCTCCCTTTTCTACAGCAGGAGTGGTAACTGGCTCTCCTGGGCCACCCGTGAGACTCTCTCCCAGGTTTGTCCTCTTCTCCATTTCCCTGATCCCCTTTTCCCTGTCAGGACAAGCCTGGCCCTAGCCTGTAAGCCTTGAGGTGACAAAATTCAATTTTTGTGAGTTTCTTCTGTCTTGGGGCAGCATTTCCCCTGAGCAGAGTTGGAGGTGCGGAGATGACTGGTCTGGGCAGGCACCGCTCTGTCCTGACCCAGTTGCCTTTGCACAACCCATGTGCCCGAGACAAGGGGGGCTGCAGCCGTCTCTTCCATCACATGCAAATGTGGTGCAGCCCTTGGTCTCCCAGTGACTTATCAACACCATCGCTTTGCTGGAGGGTGGATATTCCTCTCACACACACCTACAAATTGTTGCCAGCTCTCCTCTACGTTATAGCTTTTCATTTGTGCTTCCATAGTGCCTCGGAGCATGTTTTGCAATGTCCTTTACAGCACTTATTGCCCAATACTAATTCTTGAACCTATATTTTTCGGTTTTGATGTTATCGCTTTCTAAGGTGCGAGGTTTGTTTCCCCCACTCCCTGCTTCTGGTTAAAAATACGCACCCCCTGGTGTCTGAAATCGATTATTTGTGTGCGAACACGAGGACCCAGGCTCTCCCAACCCTGTAAAATCTGCATTCCTTACCTGATGTTCCCTCTGGGTCTTTGATGGCTTTTACTGACAACCATAAATAACAGACCTTTTCCTTCCAGACGCATAGCTTTTAGCTTTGTGTGATGTTTTCATGGATTTATGCCCTAATTTTACAGAGCTTGTTGCCAACATTGTGGGTATTTCCTCTTTTCAGCTGCCGTAAGGGCTGAAACTACTGATGAGAAACCTTTGTGGGTTGCTGCAGCAGAAGAACCAACACCAGCCCAGGTACCTTTCAGGCTACTTCTCCCCGCTGGGTTGAATAAACCCAAGTGGGTAGCATCCTGCTTCACCTATCCCAGTACTTACGCTGCATCTTTTCAAAGCCATGGCCTTTGATTTCCTTTTGTCCTCAGGACCCAGCTGGCGGGGAGGACGGGGGGAGCACAGGAGCAGAGGTGACTGTCACCGCAGAGGGGATTTCGCTGCCCGTAGACCAGCAGCAGGTGCTTGCCAGGTCAGTGCCCGCGCCGCTCCTGCGAACCGCCCACTCCTGGGCACTGCTTGCAGCACACACAGGCATGAAGCAGCCCTGTTCTTCCACGACACTAAAACTGGCGAGCTTCAGCCGTTAGTTCAGCGCAGCGCAAAACCGAGACAGACGCGTGGTTTTTACCCCCGAATTAACTTTGTCCTATCTGGGCAGACAAATAGCTCTTCACTGCAGTGTTCAGTGATGCCAAGTGCCAGAATTACGAGAGAAAAATCTGGGGACGTGCAGGCGTGCGTGCAAAAAAGCGTGCCTTCCTGACAACAAATCCTGCCTAGATCTGTTGGCAAGGATGTCTCTTCCGTCTCTGCCTTTTTTTGCAGGTATAATTTACGAGGCATTTATGCAGTTGAGTCTGGCAGTCACTGACAGAGTTTAAGTGCCCAGCAGGTTATGGAGGCGGCCTCCTTTTCCTCTTGAAAATGGTTCTTGAAGGGCACTCGGGCATCTGATGATGTTTGCATGGTGTCAGCCAGAACTTAGGTCAAAATATCCCAATAATCACATTTTCGGGGCAGCATTCGACCCAGGGCCTGGAGCACAGGGCTGGGATGTGCGGGCTGCCCGGGCTGTTGCCGAAATAGCCACTTGAAGCAAATTCTGCCAATTCTCTTTTATTTGTCTCGTGGAATACTATTAAAATTAGAAATGCTCAACATAAGATACACGGTGGATGATGGGGTGTGATTCTGAAAAGTTCTGTGATTTTTAACCGGTCTTTCAGCTTCACTGTGAGCTCCCATGGCACATGCTCGCTCTGTTGGGCCACTCCTGGCTGAAAAAAGAGCTATTAAGAAATCTAGAATAGCAGTGCCTGCAATTTGTGGGCAATTCCGTCTATTAACAGAGAGGTCTCCAAAGAAACCATTTGTTTCAACTCTATATTAAATCTTAATAATCCTATTGCGGTGCTCGTCTTTGTGACGAACACAGGGAAGACACTCTTCCAATTACATTGTTAAAATCAAAGTTGTCTGCAGATTAGGCAGGAGGGTTTGGTTCCGCAGGCAAGGGGATTTGCAAAGCCTCCTGTTGAAAGCTTTACCCATCAGGGCGCCTGTGAGATCTCGGATAGTCGCTCAGCAGAGCAAGGATTCAACCACACATCAAGCAAACGAAACCGAGGGCTAACTCGGCAAGTGCGGTGCGACAGGATACAGGTCATCTCCGGTGGTGAATGAGCTCTTTTGGCTGGGTTTGAAGATAATGAAGAGGCTGTTATCAGCGGAGGTTTTCTCAGCAGTGGGGTTTTCCCCAGTTTGAGACCTGGGTGATCTGCTCAGCTGCAGGTCTCCAGGCAGACAAAGCCAACAGCTCTGGAACATGGTTTTATTTCCACGTCGGAGCGTACGGGGCCATGTGGCGTGGGCACAAGGCGAGCTCAGTTTCAAATACGGGTCTGCACCAGCGCTGAAGGTCGCCCAAGTCATCAACCCTGGCTGATAATGCCCTCCAAAAAATTGTATTGTGGCTTCCAGCCGTACCACTGCCATATCTACCATTAACAATTTGTCACCTTGTGCGCTTGCTTTGAGAGTCTTTCAAAACACAAAATAAGAATTGAAAGAATACATTCAGTATATATTTCAATAAGCACTTAAATACAAATTTTGCCAAACAGGGATTTTAAAAAGAAATCTGTGAGCGTAGGTACAGATTTCCAGATGTAATTGTTGCCAGAGGCGCTCAGAATAATACAACCTTTGCCTTGGTTCCACAGGAATATCGATGACAGAAACTGTTGATATAAGTAGAATTTGCCAGGATTGCTCAGGGCAGATCTGGTCAGAAATCACTATTTTCTGTACCACGTCTTCCCAGAAGTTCAGGTAAGGATGCAGATCCTCCACACCTACACAGTAATGCAGAGCTAAGAGAAACGTTTGCTTTTTCCAGGCTGCAGATGCTGGAGCGACAGGTGGTGGGAGGGGAGCAGGCCGAAAACAAGGACCTCCAAGAAAAGCATAAACGCCGGAAAAAATACGCGGACGAGCGGAGGATGCAGCTGGTGAGCGCGCTGCAGCAATCCAACGAGGACAGCAGCGAGTGGGTTCTGCTGAACGTCTACGACTCCATCCAGGAGGAGGTTCGAGCCAAGAGCAAGCTTCTGGAGAAGATGCAGAAGAAGGTGAGCAGCTCCCTGCTGAAGGTTTAGGGAGCATCTCTCTCCCCCTCTGCATACCTCTTTTGGTATTTTTTAGGGCCAGGAGGTGTTTTAGGGCAGCGTGTTCAGAGAATGACTCCAGCTGCATCAAGTATTTCACCCGCGTGCCTGCGCTAGTGTCTACAAGCTTGTTGGTGTGTATTTTTATGAAATATCAGATGCAGCAGCCTCAGGGTGGTGATTTAAGTTGTTGAAACCCCAAAGCCCGCCCATTACAGAGGCTGAGCTCCTTGTGCAGCAGCACAGGTGATGGGAGAGGATGCGACTCCCTCTGCTGACCTGCGCCATCCATCGCACAGCTTCCTCCGCTTCCCGTCGCCCCAGAGAGCACACCTGGGCTCCAGGAGGAATTACACCGTGAAAAGTTTTCTGGGGGGAAAAAAAAAATAAAAACCAACGCTCTTAAATTTTAAGCATGCTTTAAGATGAGTTTTCTAATGAGGCAGAATCGGGTAAGCTTCCAAAAAATCTCTGTGCGGTCCTAAATCCACGCATTAAGACCTCACTTTATTTCTGCATTTAGGTTATTAAAAAAATATTGTACCTTTTTCATTGAAGTTACAAACTTCTGAGAGTTCGTTAGCACTGGACACATTAACATCAACTTAAGGTCCACGCCAAGACTCCGCGCTTTGGAGAAACGCGAGAAATGTCATTCAAATGGGCATGGAGTAATCTCTCCACGCAAATCTCATCCTAATTCTTAACTATAAATTAGAAATCTTCCCAAATATTTGAAGCTTTTGCGTGTGTTTTCCATCCTTCTGCCTGAGGAATCTCTGTCCTCCGAGAAACCATCAGTCCTTCTGTTTTATAATCCCAACAATTTACTTAGTTTTTACGTCCCAGCTGCGGGCTGCCGAGACCGAGATCAAAGATCTGCAGTCGGAGTTTGAGCTGGAAAAGATCGATTACCTCGGCACCATCCGCCGCCTCGAGCGAGACCTGCTGCTCTTCCAGCAGCTGCTGGATCGGGTGCAGCCCCTCATCCGCCGCGACTGCAACTACAGCAACCTGGAGAAGATCAAATGTGAATCCGCCTGGGACGAGGAAAAAGGCTGCTGGAAAATTCCAGAGCTCCTCATTCAAAAAACCCGCCTGCCCGCAGGTGAGAGGGGCATCTCAGTGGTGCCGCTGGCACGTGGCTGCGTCTGGGCTAAGCGGGTCGTGTTTGGGCTGCCCCTGCTCTTGTGTTCAGAAACTTTGTCTGGAAGATTTGAATAACATCATGTGAGGCCCAGGGTGGATCCTTCGGCATCTGCGAGCAAGGTCACCACGGTGGTGCTGGGGATCGGGGAGCGCAGTCAGGACAGCGTTAATTGTTTTAGAGAGAACCATCCTTTAATGCCGTCTCTTCCCACAGCAGTTCCAGCCCTGCCAAAGCCCGAACTCGCCCAAAAGACCCCTTCAGCCGAGAGCAGAGAGCAAACGGTACACCTCTCCTCCCTTTTGTACAGTATTTTACTGCTTTTTGCCTTGTTTTGAGCTGTAACCCAGGCGCTGGCGCAGACTCCGGCGCTGCTG